GATGATACCGGGTGGATGGCACTCCCCAAGTGACATGCGACTGCAAGGCACGTGGGAAGAGGGCAGCTTTGGGGCTGGCACGGAAGAAAGCTGCTTGCTTCGACTCCTGTCCACTCCGAAGTTGTGGGGCTTCCTTGCTTAAGAGGTCTGGAAGGGTGTCACATGTGGAGGACAGGAATAGCTGCCTCTTCATGAGGTTAGCAGTCACTGTGAGCTCATGTGATGGAAAGGGGCTAAAAGATGGAGGAGCCTGACTTCCCGTGTAGCCCTGTCTAGTTAATATCTGCTGGTTGAAGATGCAGCCACAGCTTCAAATCTAAGTGTGATATCCCATCACTGCAGTGCTTGGACTAGAATATTTTGCAAAATGTATATGTATATGCATATGCATATGTATTTTATGTTATATATTTATATTATATATGCATATAAATATATATGCCATATAGATTTTATAGGGGATTTTTGCATATATGTGTGCAAAAATATATATGCAAAATACATATATATGCAAAATAAAAGCAACTGTTTCTTATTGTATTTTGCTTCTACAATTGGCTTGTTCAGTAATAAACAACATTTCTGCTGTTATTTTTGTCACGGGGATGCAGTTCATTTCCTGGATGAGAATCCTGCAGAAAGACCCAATTAATTTTATCTCTTCTCTCTCTAGTTTTGTACGTTACTTCTTTAAGGTGGTGTTTGGGCTTTATTTAACTACACTCCCTATTGCATTTTCTTGTCTTTTGGAGAGAAAATCTGTTCCTGTTCCACAACTGAAAGAGCTTATGTTCTCCTCCAGAGGTTCATTTGTAACAGAGGGCAAGAGCTCAGGCAGATTCACTGGGAGGGAGTCCAACCAGGAGAGCATCACTAGTAACTACAGCTTTACAAAGATTCACTATTTTGAGGATTATTGCAGTAGAAAGGATGAAATGGGTCTGTTGTCAATGCAGGTTAGCTGTTCAGCCTGCTTTGCATTTTGCAATTAAGTCCATGCAAGTTGGAGACAGAATTGCAGCCATGGACCATGTGCCAGAGCTCAGTGATGAGATGGACATAAAATTGAAAGCTGAAATGTGTGTATGAAGGTGGAGAGAAAGGGAAGGAGTATACTTAGTGCTATAAATTTTATATAATTTTTTCCTGCCACTGGGCCTTTCAGCAGATATGCAACTTCAATACTGTTGTTGAATGTAGGCATTTACAGTGGCCTTGATGTTTGCTCTTACCATCAGCGCACGGAATCTCCAAGAGAGATAATTTTGGAGATTTTTGTGCTGGTGTAAGGGCAATGACCGGGTAAGGTCAATGCGAGGAGAGGAGTGAAAAAAGGAGAAGGGAAGGGACAAGAAATTCTTTTAACTTGCAAAAAAAAGGTTGAGAGAGATGGGGGTTGGCAGTTAGCCTGTGTCCGTCCTCTTAGTGGCTTGGCTGCTCTTGGAGAAGAGCAATTGAAACCCAAGGCTCCAGCAGGTCTCCACCGAATCAATAGTCCTGGGGCTTTTGAAATATAAGATGTTGCTTCCAAGTAAGTGAAAGCTGATCTCGTGAGCTGTGTAGCAAGGATGGCTCCTTTGCAAACTGCCTGCCATGGAAAACTGCACACTTTTCCCTTTTCTGAAGCATTTAGGAGATTTTTGTGGTGGGTTTCTTTGGGAGGCTGAGCTTCCAGCCCAAAGTACCCCCCTGCTTCTGAGCCAAGAGTCAAAATCCTTGTAGCTTCTGTGGTTCCCTGTGCTATTTTTCTCATTATAATTGGAGAACAGGGTGTTCTTAGCAGCTCATTCTCATCTTCTCAACATTAATCCTTTTTTTAATATATATAAATAGTCCAGGTGACTCCTGGATATTTTTTTTTCTACTTTTGAAATGAGATTGGGATTAGACGTGGGGGTTTTTTTCTGTTAACTATCATGAGCTTAATATTACAAATTACTGTTTGTAACAATAATAGAAATGACCTGGAGCTCCCCAGCTTTACATCATAAAAATAGTCCTCACAGTTACCACATTTGGCAGAAGCTCCAAAGCAAGGGGAGGACTCAGGCATGTTGAAGAAGGAGGAGGAGTTTGCAGGATTTGTTTTCCAGGTAGACAACCAGGTGATCCAAAATGTAAGCCTTAGATTTTGTAGCTCGGCAGCTTGTTCTAGTGCATCAGCACATTTAATACAAATTAATCCCCCCATGCTCTCAAACTCTCCCAAATCCTCTGCATTATGAAGCACAACAGGAGTGGGAATGGAAAATGGATCTAAATTCTCCTGTGGCATTAGGTCAAAGTCTTGCATTAGCTAATTGTAGCCGCCTGATTGTTCTATATTTAAACATTTGTGGCAGTGATAACATCATCAAACACCAAATAAAACCACTGTCTTCTGCTTCCTTATAGTGATTTCCTTTCCTGTATTTATTTTGAATCTGTGCAGGTACGTATAGGAAAGCAAGTTACTTCCCCAGACTCTCCATCATGTGCCCAGGCATCCTGAAAAAACAGTAATTAATAAAAGAAATAGCCTGTTTAATGAAAGACACAAAAATTAGGTAGTCAGAATCCATGGTATTAAAATGGTAATAGCAGAAGGTGACACAATGGGATTTATTCATACTACCTTTTATTATAAAATATTGGAATTTATTCATCTGAGCCTGCACCAGGTTGTTGTGTTTATTTTTAACACTGATGTCTAGTACAGATTAGCATTAGGAAAATAGTAATTTATGTTTCAAGTAAGTTTAGAATGCTAAATACCTTTCTTTTCCCCTTTTTTTTTTTAATGTTTCATGTCCAAATTGACTGAGAAGTGTTCAAATTTGCTACTGGAGCTACTTTCTTGGTTCCACTGTTCATTATTATTTGTCGTGGACAACCTAACCTTAAAAAATACAGGCTGAAAGAAAACAAATCTAATCTGTAATATCTAATAAGGATTTGCACAGACTTTTGTTTGAAATAATTTGCATGGCAGCTAATTGCGCTTGTCCATCACCATATGGACAGGTCTGATGGGAAACTACACAATCTGGATTGCCATCAGAAGCAAGAGGGATAAGTTCTCCGGAAGTATATGCTTAGTCATACTAAACCTTAATTGATTTTTTTTTTTCAGTTTTTAGTAAATTCTGCTCAGCCCAGATTTTACCTTGACTTTCATCATGTCTTCAGTCCCTGTGTGTCACCTCACTTCTCTCCCTGCTCCCCTGAAACAGCCTGGTTTGATTTAGATTGGATAATTTAAAATAATTTGCTTCAAACAGTTGAACTAAAGCCCATATGCCATCTATTCAAAACAAAACAAAACAAACCCCAAACCCTAACCCCAAACCAAAAATGTTTTTATCACTTTCAGTCTGCCATAAATGCAGAATTTCTTTCTGCTTTGAGCTGTGGTCAAACCACATAGCGAAGACAGCGCCATGTAGCACCAGTTCAATAAATAACTGTGCAGCTCTACTGCATAAATGAGGAAAAAAGTTTTTCTTTATTTTGTGTGGATTGTTTAGGTCTTTGTACCCTGTCTCCCTGAAGATTAAGTGGCAAACACAGGCTTCATGCAAAGCTAATAATTACAAGTCTCAGTGTGAAATGCAGAATAGTGTCTTTGGAAAAAGGAAAGTTTCATGTGGGCTTGGAAATGCTTGCGGCTGCGGGGAAAATAAGAAGCCGCAAATCTGGGGACCAAAACCCCAAGTGGTTTTAAAACAGATGATAGAGAAACACATGCATACACATATACATATTGAAGAACTTATGATGAAAACTTTGGTCGTAGATGGGTAGACTCTCATTTATTAGGGTTTATTTCTGAATCATTTGTGGTGGTGTTGGGAATCTCTTTGCCAGCTGAGAATCAGCCTTTTGGGTTTGATTTCCTTAAGCTATATGTGTCTTTGTGGACATCTGAGTACTGGTTTGATTTCTGACAAAGACGGGATGCTGATGATACCATCCCTCCTTGCATTTTCTCTGCGGCCTGAACCATTACATGAACAAAGAAAACGCAGAGGAAACTGTTCAAGGTTATGGTATGCAGCCTGGGAAAAGTGCAGAAGGTGCCATGTCTCATCTCAGCCCACATTTCTGTTACCAAGAAAATATAAAAATAGATATTACATTAAATAAATTGTGATTGCATTAATATTGTCTCCTAACTTAAAAGGCAAGCTGGATTTCTGATGGGGCTTGATGACAGACAAGCCGTTTGTCTGCTGGCTGAAGCCAAATTCCTACAAGAAAACCAAAACAGAAGTCACCAAATGGCACCTCTTCCTATAAAGGGAGAAAAGCATTTAACTGGCAATATTATTGTGAGCAGCTGCTGGGGGAATTTAGCAAACTAAGAGGCCTGGTAGGTCGATGACGAAGTTCCTTTCTCATCTGGTGGTGACTAATAGGGGATGGCCAAGATGGGAAGGATGGCTGTGTTCCAGCAGTCTTTGGGATGGGTACTGGTACCTCAGAGCAGGCTGGGGATGGCTCAGGGTTCAGAAGTTACCAGGGTTACACCGGCAAGCAAGCAAACAACTCCCTTCAACCTCATCTCGGGAAATCAGGCTAAAAATAGGTTGCTGAGGCTTAAGGTTAAAAGTAAAGACGTGACCAAGCAGTGCCGTTGAAAAGCCAGCTCTGCTCATCCTCTACAAACATCCAAGGACTGCATTTCCCTGCCAGAGCTGGTGCATTTGTTACTAGCTATAGAAAAAGCCTTCATGAAAGTTGTATGTTAGCTAGCAACATCTTCTGACCTGAGAGAAACGCTGACGGTTGGGTTCTCCCTAAGACACATGCAGTTTTAGAAACGGCTTTTCAATTTAGCAGTAGGCCAAGTATTTAGAAATCTGGTTCATACCGAAGTGAAGCTGATGACTGAAGAAGTGAGAGGAATTACTTGAAGATAGGGTGATGGGATTACTGGGTCCCCATGCAGTTGGACTGTCACAGCTTGGCAGGGGGATGTGCCCTGCTTCTAACCATTGCTTTTGCCTGCTTTACCCAAGGTCCAGTTGAAAAGCGAAGAATCAAAAACGTTTGCCATGAAAATACTGAAGAAACGTCACATAGTGGACACAAGACAGCAGGAGCACATCCGCTCGGAGAAGCAGATCATGCAGAGCGCGCACTCGGACTTCATTGTGAGGTACCGTCCCTCCACCTTACGTGCTGCTGTGGGGGAGTAAAGCACAGCCAATCTTGGCATTTCATAAAACCACCTAGAAGTAATCCATTCATCACCACCAAACCCGTTAGCCATAGCTTCCCTGCAACAGACTGTGGATACAGTGCATGGAATAAGGTCTTCTCCAGGCAAGCACGAGGTTGCTCTGCCCATGGGGGACGTCCACCCAAGCCTAAACTTAACTCATGTCTTAATTGGTTTGCGTTGGCCCCATACCGTGCTCGCATGGCTTTGTGGCTTGTGGAGCAAGCACACCCCTAGCCTGCAACATGGCCAGAGCTTGCCGATGCCAGCAGGCGATGCGCCACAGCGTGACTCAGCGTTGCCCCTGCTCAGGGTTAATTTTCCTCTTTTTTCTGAATTTCTGAATTTTCCTTCCTGCAAAGTAAAGCTGGAAGGCAGGGTTTAATCTTTTGAGATTGTGTGCTGCCGTGTGAATAAATAGTTGTATCCAGCACTTCTCTTTAGAATGTATTAGATCTGGCTCAGTGTCCCTTGACAACTCATGGACAAATGCCTAGACCATATCGCTCCCCAAAACCTAAGCAGATGAAATTCTCCAGTGAATAAAATCAGGTGCCAGACATTTTTGTTTGTTTTAACCCTAATAGCAAAGTTCTCTATCTCTTCAAGGATTGTGAGTATCTGTCTGCAGGAAGTAGAAATGGTTCTTTATATGGTTTAGGTCAGGATAAGAGTGGTGGCTCGTGAGGACCTCTGGCAGGGCAATGCATTTCCCTGAACTGGAGGTATCTAAAAGGGCAGCCTCTCATCTAAGCCAAGCGTGCTACGTCCCACCCCTCAGAAAGATGCCTGAAGCATTTGCCTTCTGCCAGAGGAGATCAACCCCACTCCCAAAAATTGCTCTAGAGAGACATACTAACCCAGGGGCAAAACCAAACCCCTGTGATAAAAATGCAAAGGCAAGCATGTGGCCAGGACGGCCACCCATCAGTCGCTAAGGGGGTGTTTCCTTCCCAGCCTGATCCCTGGGATTCCCCCAGAGCCTGTGGCTTCGCCTCTGATTCATGGGTGACAACTGCAGCCCGACACTCTACCCGGCTGCAGTTTCCTTCGTGCTGTAATATTCGATTCACAAACATGCCCCCGTTACCTAGGCTAGAGCCAAATATACCTTGTGGACTATTTCAGCCTATAGATTTATTTTCTGAAGCCTGAGCTGTCTCGGGATAGGGATGTAAAGGGAGGTGAAGTGTGGCGCCAGCCAACTGGAGGGACGTTTTGACACCGTATCCAGAAATATCCCCTCCTAAATAAAAAGCCCGAGCCTGCAAACATTTCTTAATGGAGCCCCTGATATTCATAGCTAATAAAATAAATACTTCTTCTTTCCCACTATTTATTCTTTCAGTAGGCAGGTGAAAAAAGGATATGTTAGCCATAGGTCTTTTCTTTCCATATCGTGCAATAATTCCCATCCTTTACAGTAACAAGCCTCCCTTAACTATTGTTAATACCCCATGGAAATCCTGCACTGGGAAGGGACTTTCTAAGTCATAAAGTCCAACCTTTTGCTATTGCATGTGCCACAGCTAGAAAATCTTCTCTGGTTTATCAAACTCTGTGTCTGCTTTTCCACCTCGCTTCTCCTTTTGCATGTCCACAGGGATTTGAAGTTGTTATAGTTTCTACCCTAAAATTATTCATAACCTGTTTATACCCTTTCTTGGGCCAGCTAGGATAATATTATATTATGTATTATTTATATAATATATAAAATATTATATTTTTCTGGCTCTATGGGCAGAAATCTTATCACTTTGGTAGATTGATTGTTTTGAGATGCCAGGTGAAAGGTGTGTTTAAAATGGTCTTGGAGTAAGAACACAACCTCTGGGATATCAGAACAGGAAAGACAAAATTCCCAAAGAAACCAACTCTTAATTCATCATGAAACTGTTCATTAAAAATCTTTGAAGAATAGTTCAGTTTGGTTATTAAAATTAATTAAACCAGGCAAAAGAAGCAGAAGAGGCCAAGTATCACTAAATAAAACTTACTCGTAGATAAACTAAGAATTTTACAGAACAAAATGCTCTGTGTGGGTTTGGTAAAGGGCCAAACAAGTGTTGAGCCATGGATGTCTGCACTGGATCTGCAAATATTTAGATGAATAAGAAAATGAAAAAAAATGTATTCAAATATTGTGACATTTCAAAGTTACAACTGCTTGATCTACTGAAATACTGCGGTTTCATCATGTATAAAGTTTATGCTTCCATTACAGTTGCTAACAATATTTGATAATTTTTTTTTTTCACATTTTAGGCCAGATTTGAGGCCTATAAAATTTTCTGGAAAGCAATTTTTCAGCAGGGTTACCTTAACTAGAGAAAGTAATGCTTTATTTCAGTAGCATTTAAATTACCGAGCAATTAAAAATATTTAGTTACTCATATTTTGGATTCTTGAATACATAGGTTTTCTGTAAACCTTAGTGTAGATGAAATGTTTATTAAGATAAATTATATTTTGTCCAAGTGGCAAGAAGTAGGATTTTTTTTTGTTAAACCCATAAATTTTAACCGTATGAAATGGTCAGTGAGTTCGTTCCAACTTTTTCTGAGAAGTGTGTTCTAACTGAGGTTTTAAATGTCAACATAGGTAATACTAGAGTAAGGAAAGATCTGAAACACTGGTTTATTTTTTTTCCTTTAAATTTTGTTGTGGCTGCAAATAGTAGCTTTTAGCTACAGGATATTGCCCAGGTAGATCAGCACTGAGCATATTCAGTACCCAAACTCCTGCCTACATCACAGCTGCGCCTACTGGGATATTTTTCTGTTAAATATGTCAAAAATATACCGGGTAACTGCTGCTAAGCTGTGTGCTGGATGCTACGCAAATAGAGACAGGAGGCAAATGTTGTCTAGCATCGTGATGTGAAAGCATATCGGAGCCAAGCTGTAACTGCTGGGGTGTTTTGCCACGTACCTTAAGTTAATATTTAACTGAATGCCTTCAAAAGGAACTGAATCCTGCTGTGTTTTCCCCCTGGTCCATCACACAGCTCCATAAAAGATACTAATAACTGGATTTGTCACTAGCTGGGAAGAGCTAGAATCTGCAAAACCACCTGTTTTAATTTATATCCTGTTGCATTGGCCCTTTAATTTTTAACTCTTGAATATTCCCATAAATGGAGCAATTGCACAATAATAGAATATCCCTCAGCATCCTCTTCTGCTGTGGAGCTCCAGTTTTAAAAATTATTTTCTAAGCAGTGCAGCTGCAAAGAAACCTTTCTAGTATCCACATATAGTGGGCTTGTTCCTGCAGGCAACCCGAACCGATATACCCGCACATGTAACAAGAAGTACAAAAGCAGTTCAACATTAAAACTAAAAAAACCAGCTAATACTGAAGTTGCTATATTTAATTCCATAGTTTCATAGTTGCATTTGTTTAATATATCATATTAAACACAGAGCATGGATTTTACTGCACAATTTAAACTGCACTTGAGAAGGAGGATGGGTTCATAAAGCCTGGCCCCTCTATCTCTTTAGGCAATTGAGTCTCTGGGAGGAAGAGGAAGAGTACTTTTAGATAGCTGCATGTCAGCGGGTTCTCTTTAAATTCTACCAAATCGGTGGGTTTAAGTTCTGAAATTAATCACAAATTGGGCGGCACTCCTTTGAAGTGATCAAATGGAAGGAAGACTGCCGATCTGCAGCCAAACTCTGTAGCGTGAAGAATAAGATGATATGGATGTTATAAAAAATGGCAGGAAAACTTCTCTTTCAGGCACATCTGGAAAGCCAAGTGTCAGATTATGCCGTTAGAAATGGCAGATTTTATATGTAGCACTCAGAGTAGTGGTGACCTCTTCTTCTGAGGTCCATGATACACTTCACCACTCAGATGCCCATCCTTTTCTGCTGAAATATTTCCCACCCAAGAAAAGACATTGAAATGATCTCCTTAAATGTAGTACTAGCTCTCAAAGATTCCCCTTAGTCTTGCGGTGCTTCCTGGGATGAAGCCCACGTTCCGTGAGAAATGGGAATGATTGGTGCCTTCGCTTGTATTGTCAATTTATTTATGATTTTCTCATTTGCCAACGACAGGCTCTACAGGACGTTCAAGGACAGCAAGTACCTGTACATGCTGATGGAAGCCTGTCTAGGTGGAGAGCTCTGGACAATTCTCAGGGACAGGTGAGTTGTAAGAAACTATTGTCCTACAAAGTGGAATATTTTCTAATATGCCTCCATGTAACCAAAGGTCTTTATCTTTCATGGGCAAAATCTGGATCTTACCATGCTATGTTTGATTTAAGATCCCAGAAAGGTGAGGAGCTATTTTTGTTCCTGTGCAGTTGACAAGAGACGAAGTGAATCCAGTTATAACTGAGAATAAGAACTGATTTAGGTTATGTGCGTCATGTACAAGGCTTTATGTCAGTGGAGACTTATCCAGAGCTACTTTGTCATGGCCTCTCTGAAAAAATATAGAAGGCAGTGATGGTAGCAACGGGAGTCATGTGATAAATTGCATCTGCGACAAGTCTTTGACTGCCTTTTCCCTGGGTCTTCATCGCTAAAGGGTACCCCTAAATAGCCAGCATCATATTTTAATTTTAATCAAAATAATTAATTATTTAATTAATTTAATTTTTTATTACTTAGAACAACAACCTTTTGCAACCACAGAAATTACGACTGTGTCCTTGGTGCCCACACTACCATTTCTCACATTTGGGAGCCTGGCTGAAGGCTCAGGCACTTGAGAGGGAAACGTGGGACTGTGTTAAGCGTGACAAAGACTTTGGGCACCACGTATGATGGCAGAGAATGACCCTGCAGGGTGTAGCCAGGCATTGCAGTGTCCTTCCAGTGTAGCACCTTTAGGCATTGCTGCTGTGCCTGTTTTAGACTGTGGACTTATAAACCAAGGCCCTAAGGTGGCAGTGGCATTAGTGCGAGTTCACAGTTGCAAATGAAACCCATGGGAAAGTGCATTTTCAAGGTAAAAAATGCAGACTTCTTCAAAGTCATTTGAAAAATCACAATTTCCCAATATCAATCACAATCACAATTTCTTTTTCTAGACCTACTTTTTTCATCTCAGTGTTTGCTCCACTGCCCACCCTCTGTAACTGTGAATAGCAACATCCACCTCTATCACGGAGGCACTGTGATAAATAATATCTATTAATATTTCTTAATATTTATGACCCAGTGAGGTATGATAGTAATGAGCAGGAGGTAATCAATAGTTCTTCATGGGCTTTTAGTCCAGATATCACATATTACACAAGGGCCGTTCATGAAAGTGGGAAACAAGATCATGCATCAAATCCACATCCTGCAAGGAGCACTACGCTGTTGGGATGCAGAAATGCCATGGAAAAAAATAGTTAGGAAAGCATGTAATTACATACCATGCCGTAATGCACAAGCAAGTGTGGTCCTGGTATTTCCTGCCTTGGGAGGATTTGACCTTGCAGCATTTGGTTTTGGTTGTGGATAGGTAGGTGGCAGGTGGGTTGTGCAGGTGTATGTGGGACATGCACATAATACACCCCAGGGCAGGAAAAGATGCAGTGAATTGCATGTAACTGTGTAATAGGCTCATAATTGGAAGATAATTTAATTAAATTTGGAAAGCGAAAGAAATGCATTGGAAAGATTGATCGGAAAGCAAAGATTAAATTATTTTTTTAATTACCTAGAACGAATTTTTTGTAATTCTTCCTTTTCCTAACAGCGTGCCTTCTCCAGACCATTAAAACAAGAACTGTAGCAAAGTTAGCAGTTGCCGGGTTGCATTTTTCATTGTCTTTGTCAGAGGCTGATAATTTCATCTTTAGTTCTCTCGGCTTTAAATTGTGGTTCTGCTGCCACCTAGCTTAGACAGGCTTCTGAGCTCAGCCAGCTCCCACCGCCCGCTCCCAGCAAGCAGCGGGGTATGGTTTGCTTCGGAAGACAGCTTGCAAACTGGTGCTGAAATGAAGATGCAAAAGTGCAGTTTTATGCTGAATTTGCAATTAACACTTCAGGTCCCAGCAACTGTAATTTTTCTGCTTTTTGTCTCGGTTATGAACATTACTACAGGAGTTCTTGATCTCCACAGCTCAAAATGGCTTTATCACCCAGAAGTCAAAGATTATAATAAAAAAATTCTGTGCTTACACGATAATGATTTGTAAATTTTACTTCTATGAGGTGAAATTATAAAATAAAACCTAAAATATTTTAGATATGAATGTTTGATATGAAAGTGGATTGAAGGTAAAGATACTAACTACAAAAATGGAAATGCAATTAAATTTATATATAAAGATGAGTTCAGCAACAGGCACTTTCCAGGTATTAGAGTGATTCTACTGAACTATATAGATATTTTAACAGTAGGGTGAAGTCCAGTAAGGGAAGAAATCTAATTGCTTTATCCCCTTTCCCTCTCTCATTTTACATAGAGGTTCGTTTGAGGATTCGACAACCAGGTTTTACACAGCGTGCGTGGTCGAAGCTTTTGCCTATTTGCATTCCAAAGGGATCATTTATAGGGACCTCAAGCCAGAAAACCTCATTCTGGATCATCGAGGTTATGCCAAACTGGTGAGTGCCTACAACATCTGGTTTAGCCAAAAAGAAGTCACCACTACTATCAGTCAACTAGTGTTAAGGGGAGAGGAGAACACAGGCTTAGCCATAGAGGGTCAGAAGCAAAGTCCACCCAGCCCAGGGTCCTGTCTCTGATGGTGGCCATCAGTAGATGCTGAGATAAGATCAGGGCAAGGGTCTCGTCACCTACCACCTCAGCAGACTGAGGCTCAGAGTACAGCTGAGCTGGGAAACACTAATTCTGGCTTGAAATTCAGATCTGTGGTCCTGAAGTGGAAACGTTTAGAGAAGAGCATCAAGAGAAATCATCCAGCTGTTTTGGAGCTAGTGTAAGATTGAAAAATAACTTGAAAATAGGTATCTTAAAATATTGGTGGGAGAGGGGGAGGACTTGCATCTGCGGGCTTTATAGGCAACTGGTGAGGCAAATTTTGCATGCTACCATTTCTGTGTCAGGTCCTTTGTGTAAACAATAAAAAAGGCATTCTTAATGGAAATATTAATCATGACCGTGTCATGGCAAGAAATTATTATTATTAATTGCTCTGGACTGTGTTACTGAACTGTGGCCAGTACAACTTCTTGCTTTAGGAGGGCCACTTGTGTTTTAGCATCGATAACACACCCAACTGATTTGTGCAAACTCCTCTGGGAAAACTGCATAAGGCTCTGCCTGAAACTGCTCTTCCCAGAAGGTCAGGGTCTTCTCGGTGCTGTCCCCCTGCAAGATCCACCTCCTCAAACCAGGACGACAGCGTGTGCAAGACCTCCACCCCTCAAATTAGGGAGTTTCTGATGGGTTTCACTGTATTGCTTTGTTCACTCATATTACTTTTTTTGCCTCAGAAATCACTGTAGAGGTGCCCTGCATGTAAGGTACACCCCAAATGCCAGGTGAGACTATAGAGAGGGGGCGAAGAAAAGAAAGACTTCCCTTGGTGGGAGGTGCTGGAGGATATGGGCACTTGGGAAGCCATCAGTGAAGGATGGGTTAATGCATTCCTAAAAAGAGCTGCATCCAAGAAGGTCTGGTGCCCTCCCTGAGAGTCACCGGGGGGGCCAAGGTTTCTGCCTCTTGGTTTGGGGACTCTTCCCTGCCTTTGGGAAGGGAAACCCAGGAGCAGCATCAGCAGGTGGGAGCAGTAAGTCAGACCATCTCCATCATGGACCTTTACGGCCTGGTGGCAGCCACCATGTCTCACCGTGACACTAAGCCTAATGAATGATATCGGAGTTTATCCTCTACAGCATTTCACTAAGGACGGGGGGTCCAGTGAGGTGTCAGATGATCGATGAGGATTAGGTGCAGGACTGTCCTCTTCCCACCCCAGGAGGATCTGGACCAGGGTCTCTGCTGGTCCCGTCACCAACCCCCAGCTCCTTAGACATTTTGATCTCCCTGAACATGTCCGTGATAGCACAAGAGGTGTCCCTGATCTCTTGTGGGACTGTGACCATGTAGGACATTTTGCCCCTGACCAGCACAGGAAGGTGCAGGAGCATCACACAGCCATCAAGGGACAGCAGAGTGTGCTACAGACCACAGCTCTGGGCCAGCACATCATGGAGGCAGGGGAGGGCAGAGGGGGTAGAGCTAAAAATACAGTAAGCCTATTAACCTGAGCTCTGCCTGGGCCCCAAAGGATAGCTTCGGTTCCCAGCATAATCTGATTTTCCGTGCTTGCCAGTGCCATAGAGACACTGCTACAGGAGCATGCTGAGGTTTGTGAGCCCAGCAGCACGTTCCAACAGCTCAAGCAAATTGGGAGGACACTTGTACTGTATCGCTCTTTATGCGGGGAGAGAAATCTGAACTTTTCAGTAGATGCCAAAATTGTCAGTATTTAGCCTAAATATTTCCTTGCTCAGGTTAAGGCTGGGAGTTAAAAAAAAAAAAAAAAAAAAAAAAAAAAAGCAAAATAAATCAACCTGAGCTGTGAATGATACAAAGTTACATCTCCCAGGAAATCCTCAGTGCTGGTATTTGTTCTTCTTCCCTCATGAGAATCTTCCTTTTATATTACAAAGGATAAATCGGGGAAAAGGTCACTGTGGTTGCCTGGTTCTGTGATGCTTTAGTTAGGAGAATATTCCCACGAGGAAACCTCCTTTCTGCTTTGCTTCACTTCAAGAGGAGTGGAGCACATGGCTGACATTCCCTCTCATGCTCTGCCCTGACGGTACTCTGCTCCTTTCCACAGGTCGATTTTGGCTTTGCAAAGAAAATAGGATTTGGAAAGAAAACATGGACTTTTTGTGGAACCCCAGAGTACGTAGCCCCCGAGATCATCCTGAACAAAGGTCACGACATTTCGGCAGACTACTGGTCACTGGGAATCTTAATGTATGAACTCCTGACTGGCAGGTATGGGCATTGGGGCCAGCGCCACTGCTGAAAATAGATCCGAATATTTCTGCCGTTGTCACCCTGATTAGGTGAGGGGAAAGTTCAGAGCTGGTGTGTGCTGTAGCAGCACAGCACTATGCCGCTGAACCTAATAGTTTTTCCACTTTAAATCACAGCTTCCATGCAGATTTCTTAAAAGGGCAAGACATGAGCAGGCTTTTTAGGAAGTGCTGTGAAATGACACCCAAAAACTCATTTTTGCCCTGAACTATAACTGAGAGTGAGCTGAATGTGGTGGGGAAAGGGTTTGCAATTCAACCAGGGAGGTGCAGCGATGGGCTGCTGCACATCTGAAAAGGAGGAGGTAGACCTGACACCATGGGGACTTGAGTCCCTATATCCATCCCTTCCCTTATTTAGTTTTGGATGTATATATTACTGCTTATGTTGGCAGTAGCAGCTTCCTTGCACTTCCTCACCTCATCCTCCGTCACTCACTCCGAGCATACAGCAGCTGGAAAAGGAGCCATCACCTCAACCTCCTTATCCTTTGGGGCTAGACCCAGGCCCCCATTCTGTTAAACCAGTGGAAACCTAATTAATCCCTACTGAAAGCATGTCACAGAATCAAACAGAGAAAAAGCCAGCGAGTGTTGCTCAGACCCTTGTTCCTCAGGCTGTTGGGACACGGGCCATCATGGAAGTGAGAGGTTTAGCATGTGCTGGTGCAGAAAAGATGACTGTATTCTTTGGTACTTCCCTCCAGCCGGCACCACTGACAGTATCAGAGCTCCTTGGCTGAGAAATGGTTAAGATCAGAGGAAGCAAAGCATTGCTAGTTGTCATCTACCTTTTCTCATTTCAGTAGGGTACTATGTTTTGCTTTGGTTTTTTTGTTAATTAATCTTCAATGCTATTTTAAAGGACAAGGTTTTAATCTTTTTCTTCTCCCCTCTGAAGTCCCCCTTTCTCAGGCCCAGACCCCATGAAGACCTATAACATCATATTAAGGGGAATAGACATGATTGAATTTCCAAAGAAGATTGCCAAAAATGCTGCTAATTTAATTAAAAAACTATGCAGGTAAGCACATGAAATACAATCACTTTGATTTTACTTGCAAAGAAATGAGTTGTTCAGAAGGATTAAGAAAGTAACCAATTTGTTATTCGTTTTATAGGGACAATCCATCAGAAAGATTAGGGAACTTGAAAAACGGAGTGAAAGATATCCAAAAGCACAAGTAAGTGTCTTCTCTGCTATCCATCAGATCCAACCCACAGAAACATGCGTTTCAAACACTTGAGTTTTCAGCAAAAAACACTCTTAAACTCCTTTGGCCTTTCCCTTCTAGTGTGCTTTAGACTCTAATTGAATTGCCATCAGACTTTTTTTTTCCCCAGTGCTTTGGTATAGATGCCAGCCTTGCCTATGAGCTAAACACATTGCACATTGGCCGTTACACTTCAATTACTCTAATGCAGAAGAGCATTTGGAAGTAATCCAACTTCGCCACTGTCTGCTTGGACTTTTTTTTTTTCATTTGACCAATCACTTTCTGAGGTTTTCCTTGATTACCCTTCCTCCCCTAGCCTAACACACTTTCTGTCTACCCATAATGTAAATTCATCATCCCTTTTGATCTGATGGGAGAGAGTTGTTAAGTGACGTCTAATAAATTTTCATGCTGCTGGAGGGGAATAAGAACAGGTTAGAGACCCACTGCGGAAGCAGGTTATCTGATCCATCCATGCTGGTCCTTCTCTTCTCCCATCCCCAAAGTAACAGAAGTGGGTCGGATGGACCTTTTGGGGTGGACAGATTGAAGGCTGAGCTCAGGGCTCATCCACCCACCTAAGGTGCTGTAGCTCAAGCAAATCCAAGGTGCCCAAACCAGGATATCTGTGTGCATGCCCTTAGTTCCTAATCTCGTATGAAGAAAGGACATCAGGGGTCTCATATGGGAGGGATTAGTGAGGAATGGTTTTCTTCTGAGCATTGGTAATTTGTACTTGCTGTGGTATCACCACTGCGTTGCTATACACACTTCATTTTCAGTCCCAAAAAACTGATATGAAGATGGGAGGAAAAATTATCAGGGCTTATTGGACAATTTGAAGTTGACTGCAGGAAGTGAAACCCACTGTTCAAGCAATTTAAATTCAATTTTGTGCTACAGAGAGATTGTCACTGTATGTCTAACTGTTTCATTATTCCCTTCCTTCTAGATGGTTTGAAGGCTTTAACTGGGAAGGGTTACGAAAAGGGACGCTGACACCTCCTATAATACCAAGTGTAAGTTTTCCTGCTTATTTTCTCCTTCCTGACCAATAAGTTTCTTTTACGTGAATGTTGTGAGCTTCAGGCACTCTAGATAAGTGGCAACAGCATGTGCTTTATTTCTTCTGAAGATACTTGAAGAAGTCACGTTAGAGACATTTCCAGCTATACTTGGTCTCCAGGAAGTCTCTTCCAGGAGAAGGCGGTTTAGGGAGGGCATGACTGCAATGAAATGCCCTTCGCAGCAGGAGATCGGGGCAGGATCACTCATTACCACACATTTTTCTCTTCCTCACCTGCTCCACTTTTTTCTTCATCTACTTTTCGGATTTCACTGGAGAGCTGCCACTTTCACCCCTTCTCTCAGATGTGTCCTCTTTCTTTCTCCTTTATTCTTATTTCTTTTGGCAAGGCAAGTGGGATTTGTATGCCACCTCCCTTTTCTTTTCCATTAACCTTTCCTTCTGTCTTTTCTTTTGTGCTTTTCACCCTTTTTTTCCTGCGTCTGTGTCCTACATGAAAAGCCCTGTTACTGCCTAGTTTATGTTTAACTGGGAGCAGACGTGGAGGGACAGCTCAACTCATTTTCCTTTGGAGCAAAGCTCTTCCTTTGATGTCTTTGTGAGCTCTTTACCCACAAAGCCCACCGCAAAGGGAAACCAAACAGGATTAGCTGATAGAAATTACCTTGGCCCCTTCTGTTCTGCAGCCTCCCCTCCTTGTTTCAACTTAATCCCTTTCTCTCCATGCCTCTCCCGTGGGATCACCAAGAGAATGACATTAGCAATCATGTTTAATTGCACCCCGTTGCTCTGTCCACTCGTGGTCCTGCACCTCCTGCAGCAGCGGCAGGCACGGCTCCGGGGCTAAATCTGCCATCCCAAAGTTTTCTTAGCAGCTGTGGAAGAGCAAGAGGGTTTTGCATCCTGCTCTTTTGCTCTATGGGCTGCAGAAGTTACTGGCAGTCAGTGGGAGAAAGCAGGACTTTGCAAATATCTGCCTGAAGTGGGATGTCCAGAGAACATACAAATGTTTTATAAATCAAAACTGTGGTTTTTTCTGTTAAGCGTCTTTTTAATGACTATTAATTTGTCAGCAGTACTGTTCATCACATTTCAAGTCAGACAACAAAATCAACTTTACTCCTTTACATCCAGTTTCAGTTCCTGGTTTACCTGTGCAGGATGTCGGTGTAGCCTGAAAATGCCCCAATATAATTATCTAATTGTTTTTAGTGGATTTTTAGTTTAGCAAGAACTTTTCCAATACTGCTTTTACCCAATATACATATGGACCCTGCATGTCTAACCCTCAGACAGCACAACCAGCAGTGGTGACTTCAGCGGTATCTGCTCTCTATGGGCATGAATTGCTCCCTGATGTCCCCAAGCTGGGACATTGCTCCACCACCAGAAATGGTCTCTGCTCCTTTGGCATTGCCTAGAGGAAGGACGCTCTCCAGCCTGTTGTGCAGGAAATCACATTTTCTTTGCTTTTTCAGTTAGGTCCAATGTGGTAGGAGAAAAGGGTTGTGTGAGCACCCAGTTCACTTCGTTGGCATTATTTCTTGACATCATCAGGGCTGTATGTTCATGGCTCTGGTGAAATCCTACCAGGGAACATGTCTGTGATTGCTCCCAAGAGAGTGATCTGCTGTCACCCTTTTTGCCAGCACACCACCATCAAGGCTGTCCAAAGTAGATGGGAGCATCCTTCCCTCTTCAGAGGAATCCTTCTTCCAGGACAACTCAATGCTGACAGCCATACATTTGCCCTAATCCCAATTCAACACAGCTCATTCTTTCCTAGAGCTCTTAGGACTAATACCTTCTCCAAACGTACTCTTGAGATCTTCTCCAAAACCTGCCTCCATTAACTAGTGAACTTCATCCACCCCAAAGCTCTCCGTTCCACTCAGCCTTGTTTTTCACAACCAGCTCACTTGCAATCGAAAGCTGCTCCTTAGCTCTTATTCCAGCGGATTTTAGGAAAGCTCAGTTTACAGCCTGCTCCTAGGACATTGCTTCAGGGAGCGGCTGAGCCTTGATACTACCACTTAAATCTCTGACAGTAGCTGTCCTGAAAAGCTGCTTCTACTTCTTGACTTTTCCAAAGACGTGCTGTCTTGCATCACAGCTCTTGCCTTTGAGAAAGATGCGCAGATCTCTGCACCATAATTCATCTGAAGCCCTGATGTTGGTAAGCAGCCAGACAGCTGATACTGACATTTGCACTCTATCTTCTTGGGTGGACAGGAGATACATCTAGAGTGTCCCTTCTTGGCTAGAGAGGGCACTGAGACGGACGTTTGCTCCCATGTCTCTGACTGCGAAGGACTTCAGGCCATGTAGGTGACCTGGACCTCAGAGTTGTGGGGAATCGCACACAATAGTGTGTGACATATAAAGTCAATCAGCAGAGTGACAACTCATCCAACCTTTCTTCCCCAAATCATATTTCTTCTACAAAAAAAGAAAACCCTCTACATTTGAGCTGTTGGATATACCTAGCCTTTTTATTTTGTCAGATGAACACAAAAGGCAATTTATTTCCCAAAGCAGGACTTATTTCCATTAAAGCCTCATCTAACCAGAGCTCAAAAAATCATGCCTGCCCAGCTAGGTTCTTCCAGAGTGGACACCTGCAGAGGAGCCCCAGGGAGCTCCATGGATGCTTTCACCCCATGCAGTTCACTTATGCACTGTCCATCACTGCTGAGAGGTTTTGCAAGAAGCTACAGCTCGTGTGCATCCTCTGTGAATGGCCACACCAACTGCATCTCTTTGGTAGTTGGTATCTTGTACATACATCCTCAACGCTTCTGCTCCCAGAGGGAGAGCTCGTGGCAGGGGGCTGAGACCAGAGGGAGAGCTCATGGGGGGGGGCTGAGAGAAACAGAGGGATGTGGTCCAGCTCATGGCACCATGGAGGAGGGTAAGTGTGGAGCACCCCAAGAGTGAGGACCCAAAGAGTGAAGGCTCTACAACTCAACAGTGCCAGCACCAACAAAGTAAACAGTATTCAGTACACAGTGAAGCATCTCATCACTCTGTAGTACTCCACTAAGCTTTTACAGGTTGTTTTTTCTTCCAAGTGAGTTGGGTATTCAAGGATCTTAATTTTCCCCAAGATGTTTTCAGCAGCAGGGAAGCGCTGATGCAGCTGGGCAGCAAATTAAATTTAGAGCTGATGTTGGAGCTCTTGTTGATTAAATAGTCTTTTTCCAAGGCTTATAGCAGCATCCAGCATCAAATACATCTCCTGGACTGTAGGCTGGGCTCTAGCCATGGCTTCTCCACCAGCTGCACAAGTGAAATGGCTGAAAAATACAGGAAGTGTTTCCTGCGCAGGACTCCTATGGCAAGTGCAGTCCCCTCCAGCCTGCACCGGCTACTTGGGATACAGCTTAAAGTACTGATTTTCTCTAGTAAGAAACTGATTATTTTGGTCTGGAGAGCTGCTGGTCTGTTTTTGGTCTGGTTTTATGTTGTTTCATTTTTTTTTATTTTAAATTGAATGTATCAGGCTCTCATTGTAAGAAAAAGAAACATACTTGGCCTTCATCCTAGGAAGACGGGTTTCTCTGGTAGGGTCCATAGGCTGAGCAATACTTGTCAGGAAACTTGAAGGCAGCAGGGCCCAGCTCACAGTCTCAAATTCAGGATCCTGGAGCCATAAATTGGAAATCCTGGGCTTTGGGGAGGCCCAGATCTTTTCCAAGTCTTTTTTGCCAACCTTGTAACCATGCGTAGGACAGTTGCTCTCGAACTAGAGACCCGAGAGGGCCTGGATCATTAGAGTATGGGGCCTGTGGGAAGTCCTCCTGGGCTTCAGCAAAAGGTTGTTGAATGCAGAACTTCTCTTGCTTGCTGCAGTTAGCAATGAATGCTTTTGAATGATCATGGTTGTGAGATGGAGAGGAAACGTCTGCAAAGGTCCACTTTGATGGACCTTTCTTGTCACTCTCTTCTTTCCACAGGTTGCATCTCCAACAGACACAAGCAATTTTGACAGCTTCCCGGAGGACAGTGATGAACCACCCCCTGATGACAACTCAGGATGGGACATAGATTTTTAATGTATTTCTCTTACCTGCTTCTGCCTTGCTGAAGACAGCTTTCTGGGACATGGCTGCCAGCGAAACCGAAAGAATTGAGGAGGATTAGTGCTCGGGGTCACCATGATGCCTTGATTGATGCTGCTACAGTAACTACAGTGGCATTAGGACTTATTGCTTAGATGACAATAGTGCTCTTCATGTTTTATGTTCGAACTTAAAATAGCAGTTGACATGGTGGTCCTGATGCAAAGCCTTTCACCAGTAAAGAAATATGTTTTCTATCACTGCAACGATCTTGCTACTCTCTTAATTATAGAAGTCGAGAGATACGTAGTGTAAGACGCACTTAATTCTAGCTGCAAGGTACTGGCTTTATCAGTAGGATCAATAGTAATTTATTAAGTGCTGTAGCTAAAGACAGTGCAGGATTTGGGTTACTCCCAGCCTCCGAACTCTGTAGGTCTTCTACTGTAGGCCAGCGTAGGAGCAAAGGAGGACCACAACGGTACTGGTCAAAGAGTTCACATCAAAGCAGTGGTAAAATTTGTCCTTTTCTTTCCGAGCAGTATTCTTGACAAGACTGAATGTTACCTTTCCTCTTTCTTTTTGAGATTTTTTTTTTAGCCTGGTAAAACAAAAGCACAACTGCTCTAGATCCTGTTCAGGCAGATATGGGTTGCTTCCCTCATATAGCTGAGAATATACGGTAACACAACATTTGGGGTTTTTTTTTTTTTCTTTCCCTTGGTACAAATACATAACTGCATGAAAAAAAATCATAAAATTAATCCATTTTACGTATAAAATAGTGCTTAAATAATGGTCCTGTGATAAAGTGACAGCAGCCCACTGGTCTTATTGATTAGCTATGAGGCACAACACTAAGCTTCATTTTTGCCTTTTTAGAACCCAAAGGGAAAACATAAGACCCGTAATGTACTTTATAGGTGCTATGTACATCCTTCATCTGTGAATATAAATTGAGTCAACCACCATTTCAGAAATATGTAGCAAGAGGCATCGTTCTCCATCACGCTCTTAGATGATTTTACGTCTCCATGTCTGCATCTCTTCCGTGTTTAGTACAAAGCTAATTAAAATAAGAGGTGGTACAGGGCCAGTTTGCTGGCTCTGTTTGTCATATTGCCTGTAAAAATGTAATCCTAATGGCTCACCAGACTAAGGACCTCCACAGGAAAGTCAGTGGAATTAAATGGAAACGAATATTGGATGTGTTTGTGCGAGGTCTCCATGCCTCCGGCGTACCAGGTCCCCAGTGACTGTGTTTAAGGTTAGATGCCGAGTCAGCTCATATGAAAAAAAGAGCTGGGGAAAACAATATTATTTCCCTCACTTCCACTGCTTTTCCTTTGCTGTAGTGCAGTCTCTTCTGATTGGAAGGATGTAACAGAGGAATCCTGTCCTGGATGCCTGCTTGTTGCATATGCATGGAACTAAAAGTTTATCAGCTTTCAGTCTCTGTAACAGGCTCTGCCACCAAAAATTAGCAGATGCTGACACATTTCATCTCAGAGCCACCAAGAGCTGTTGTATGTGCTGGAAGTCAAAAGATTAACTTTTGCTCAAAAGTCATTTATATGACTTTTGCCTACATAGTAGATGGAAAATGTTATGTTTTAACAGTAAAAAATTATTTCCCTGATGCTAGATCCCAACCCTTTCCCATGTTCCTAATGGAAGCGACTTAATAGAGCATCTTAAAAAGATATTTTCTCCCCATCTTTGACAGCATCAACAATGTCTGCTGTTTGCCAGCAAACTAAAGAGCTCAGTCATCGTGACCCCTTCGAAACCCATCTGTGTCACTGAATTTGTTCCCTAGTTTTCCGAAGGGTGAGGTGACACTGTCGGCACAATAACTTCAGGTTATTTCCACTATTCATTAATCATTAAAACTTGTTTGCCTTGAAAACCATAGGGAAAAGACAGTAACTACGTCTTCCAGGAATTACTCGTATAGGGCAAATACACACTTGCTTTTCAGCCTTTCTCTGAGGGATGGAAGACAGTGAAAGCCAATGCTGAATACTAGGGCTAAAATAATCACTAGGCATCATAGCAAACAGGCTGCTGCCTAAAAGCCAGATTCTTTACTCGCATCCCCCTGGTTTTTCACTCAATGGATGCAGCGATGTGGGAGGAGAAAACTTGTTGTGTTTGGTAACTTTCTATAGAAGAACATAGAGAGGAGTTTGTCCCAAACTTATGATATTCAGTAGCTGAGATGCAGTTGTCAGTCAAGGTGTTGCCGGGAGGAAAGAGGATCACAACAATTTTGAGGGGCAACCCGAAAATGTTATGGAAAGAAGGTTTTAAAATGGGCTGATGAGTTACTTTTCTTTTTCCTTTCCCTTTTTCCTTGTGCCACGCACGGTAATTAATACCTGCTGTGTGCGGCATGCACTGTACCGAATATAAGTTTATTTTGATATCAAACACCTCATTCAACTTTCATCACCTTTCCTAAGCATACTTTAAACAACATACTTCACATATGTATATGATAAACGCCTTCATTTATAAGTAATATATTTGAGTTGCATCATATATATATATATATATTCACAACAACAGATTGCCTCTATGTTTCCACTTACTGTCCTTTCTTCTTTGTCTCCTTTTTTAATATATGGGACGATGGCATATTTACGTAAGGGGAAATCAGCTCCCGTATTTAAAACGAGTGTATTAAGATTGGTGTCGTTAAGACACAGACGATCCATAGCTTCTCACAGTACTGCATTATCCATAGCAAACTCTTATTTAACAACAGGACCACAAGCGAATATTTATGTAAATAGGTATTTTCGTGTTGATATTTTGTGGTACACATATAACTTTTTCTTTTAGAGTTCCATGGCATTATTACTTCATTTTCTTATTTGTAATGTAATGTTTTTAGATCAAGGTAGACTTGAATTAATGTCATAATTGTCAGTATTATTAAACTTTATGTCAACTGTACTGTTAACTCATCTGTCCCATAGTTTTAGAACATGACTAGCTATCTGGCATTGTTGCAAGTGCCTTAAATCCATGGCATCCTAGAAAAAAAAAAATTACAAATTTGGTGTTATGCTGCATGACAAAGACAAACACACCTCAAAATGTCGTCCTTTCTTAGCTTGCTGCGTTTTACAGTTCTTTCTGCTACCAATTTCTAAGCCTTTATTATATAATATTGATGAATTACAGAAATGATGAAGTTGTTCTCTTATTTCTGTTCAATGTACCAGAGCTGTGTATCTGTTAATGAGATACAGAGTCATTTCTGTGAAATGTATAAATGTTATGTGCAGGTCAAATTAATATATGACATCCTATCAGTCCGTAGACAGGTATTCCTGTTTTGCTAAGCTGTGCAGATTCAACCCATCGTGCCGTCCAGCGCCAACCTCCCGTCTTATACAAACCCCATTAGAAATCTCCTGTCCAGAAAAAAACGATGAGTGACTCGGTGTGCAACCCGACCTGTGGTTTTTGACCCAACGCAAAGGTGTAGCGTGTTTGCACCACTCAACAAAACAGGACCCGTGCTTTTTCCCCTGACTCCTTCGATCTGCAGCCCACCGCAGAGGCGAGCCCTCGGCGCTCCTGCAGAGCTGAGCTGGAAAGCTGGAAGCTCCTCGTCCTCCGCAGCTCCCCGGCCACGTAAACCAGGCGTGACGCCAAGACTTGGGCGGTTTTAGGGCTTTACCGGCAAAAGGGGAAATCTCGTTTGGAGTTGCCTATCGTCCCGAGTCCCAACTTATGCTGTTTTTACACTGGCCCTTTGTTTTATATTCTTATTTTCTCCAGTTTTCTTCTTACATAAAAGAGGGTTTTTTTGTCGAACAAATGTCAGTCATCCACCGGTCGTCAGCCGGTTGCACTCTTTTGATGTAGATTTAAGAACTTTTTTTCATAAACTTTAACTGCTTTTGTTTTGCTCTGTATCTTCCCTGCAGCTGTAATTGCCGAGTGCCTGTTGTATACTTTATAGAGTTGAAATAAAAATAATTACTTTTGAACGGCATGTTGCTGTCTTTCTTCCACGGCAGAAGCCAAGTTCAGGGGAGTGCTTCTGCTTAGCGATTAAATCGGATTTTTTATTTTCATTTATGACGATGAGCAGTAAGAGATAACTGAACAAAATGTGTGGTACTTACAGATTAGTACCGGGGTCCCGGCTCGTATCTTCATCCAGATTTTCTGCAGAAGGCAAATGGCCACAGTGACTGTACTTTCGCGCTTATTTTAGCGCAGCATCACCCTGAGCAGCCTGGCCAAAGGGGTCCAAGGCTGACAGGGGTCCTGTTTTGAGCAGGGTTGGCACCAGGTGACCCCGCACCCAGTTTGTTTCCAAACCAAATTATTCTGTGAGCATGCTAAGCAATAAGCACATTTACAGCATGTTTACTCTTCAGGGATGAAGAATTCACTTTATATTTTGATTGCTGCCAATATAAGTGAGTCCAGGACACACAGCTGGGAAGGGACTGGTTTTCCACCACAAGCTGCATCCCCGAGCTGGGAAGTGACTGCGAACAACACCCATGTCAAAGAACGGTGGTGTCCTTGTCATCACTGTCCCTTATGGTTAATGCTGAGAGGTGGTGACACGGGGGCACAGGACAGCCATGGGATGTCATGAAGATGTCACCGCTGTATGCGGGATGGCACCTACATTTTGCAGCATTCGGGATGTTGAGGCTCTGCCCATCCCAATGGATTTAAATCCCTCCCCAGGAAACTGCTCAGCCGCGTGTGACAAAACTGTCTTTAAATCTCAGTGAGGTCAAAGTTAAGGGTGTACTTCAGTGCTATGCGGGCACAGAGAGGTAAAAACTGGGGAAGGTGATAAAGGGAGCAAGAAAACATCCTTCCAGGAGGGAAATAAATTTAGTAACTGCCTAAGCAGGAGCTGGGAAACATCACAAAATGATATTGCAGGCTGTGGCAATCACCGATAGAAGTTAATAATACAATAAAAAGCCAGGGTGACGTGGCCCTCACCTGAAACTGCAAGGGGAACACAGAGATTTCGGGGCAAGGTGTGGCCCTGATTATTGCAGGCTAAAAATAGCAAGGCCCAGGTTCACCTGACTGGTAGGGTTGTCTGCTGCCCGCTGACTCAGCAGCACTGCTTCCGCCAGCACCTGTCTTAGGTGCTCGCCGAAACTTTCCCAGCCAATTATTAGCCCGGCTTGAGCCTCTTGGGCCTGAAACACCCGATAGCAGCTTGCCACAGAGCAACAGCAACGCCCAGCATGCTGGAGTTGAGTGAGCGCTGCTGGGGTGCGACGTCTGAAATCACCCACCCCGACAGCAATAAATATTTATGGTGGGTTTGGGCAGCGCTGCGGTGTTTAGGCTTTTTTGCCTGTATTTTCTTTCAAACTCCGCTTTAAAAAATAGATCATGAAAAAACAATTTAATTAATTGGGGTTTGCTACTGCGCTTGCACAACCTCCGGGGGGCGGCGCTGC